GGCAGCGTAAGTGAATAATATTGTGGGGATTGCCTTTTTGTTACATTTGTTTGAGAAACTAAGTTATTTTCCTGCTTATGGTTGAAGGTATGTGATAACTGTTGGAGCTGTTACTGCTCTCTGCTCAACATTGATGGGCTCTATTCTTCCTCAGGTATCATTCACTGATCTCTTTCCTTTTCCTTTTATCTCCTCCTTTTGGAGATGTATCATGTATGGTCTCAGGTCTCGTCTGCTTGTTTATTGTCCATGAATTCCTTACAACGCCTGTACTGTACCACTGATGAAGATATTTTCTTGTGTTTCTTAGCCACGAATCCTGATGGCAATGTCTAGAGATGGATTGTTGCCGCCATTTTTAGCGGATATTAATAAAAAAACTCAGGCTCCTGTCAAGAGTACATTAGCAACTGGGATTTGTTCTGCAGTCTTGGCCTTCTTCATGGATGTTTCAGTGTTGGCAGGAATGGTAAGTTGACCTTCACGGAAAAATCTGGCATTGTTTTTTATAAGGTGGCTAACTTGTTGACTCTTTGTTTTGCTAAAAGACATGCGAGTATTCTTAATGTTAATGCTTTATTTGTGCTTTACAAGACATTCTCTTTATAAGGGGGATTCCCCCTGCATGTGAACTAGCCTTGAAATCTTTTCTTGTATTTCCACAATAATGGATCCTCGATAATATTAATATCCTTTAACAAATTCTGATACCGTTGAGGATTTTATTTTCTGGATCATGATAACGACTCAAGGAACTCACTTCGAGGTGGAAATCGATGTGTGTTTAACCCTTATTTATGTTGACATCCACCTTTTTCTGAAATAGTGAATGTAGATGTTTAGACTGACTTAGATAGTTACCTATGTTGTGCAGGTTAGCGTGGGTACACTTGTTGCATTCACTATGGTAGCAATATCTGTACTGATAATCAGATATGTTCCACCAGATGAGGTGCCTTTGCCTTCATCTCTTCGCGAGTCCATTGATTCAGTGTGGTTGCGGCATGGAAGGAATTCTCAAGAGGTCAAGGGGGACAATCCTAAGACTAAGATTAATGTTAGTTCTTCGGAGGAGAGTACCAAACCTCTACTTGAGAAAGTGGATATCATGGTTGAACTTCCTCTGATCGGAAAGCAACTGCCTCTTATTAACTGTAAGACCTTAAGAGTCTCATATACTATATTTAGCCACTGCAACAGTAGAAAGGTCATACAGAAACACACACATACACAAAAATGTCCTATTATCGTAGCTATGTTGCCATAATCTGAATCTGGCCCAACATTCAGGCAAGGCACAACCTTATAAATAGTCTACATTCACAGTCAGGCAAGAGAATGTTTCCTTGTACCTATGCATGTCTATAAAGTATGTATGACAATGAGATGTACGTGTCTTTACATTTGTGTCAGAAATAACCTTATAAATATTCTTCGTAGTTTCTGCTCTATTTTTCTGTTATGCGGGCCTTTTCTGAAATGTTTTTTTCACTGTGTCTTCATTATTACAGACACGTTAAGTGAAGATAATAGGCGTAAAGTTGCTGGCTGGACCATAATGTTCACATGTGTCGGCGTGCTTCTTCTGACATATTCAGCATCAGATTTGGCCCTCCCCAGGTGGGTGAATTTCGGTCCTAGACATAGTTCTGAGAATGATATTTTTCTGGTTGCATGATTCAATTTTTAGCTGCAAAAACAAATTCTAGAGGAATTCTATATTCCAAAATTTATATGCCAAGATTTGTGGTTTTGCTTCTGCTTTTCTTTTATTTACGTTAGTATGCTTTATGTTTTACCTTCTCTTAGTAATATAGTTTAATTCTCTGTTCCTTAATCTACAGAAATATTCTTGGTTTCGATTTCAGCTTTCTTCGCTATACATTATGTGGGGGTGGCGGTATTCTTCTTTTATTAGGTCTGATTGTGCTCACATGTATTGATCAAGATGATGCACGACACACCTTTGGGCACACAGGAGGTATGCTCACAATTTTACAGTAGTACGAATTTCACTTAACGGCTTCAGGGGATGCAACCTTGTCTGCACGCTGTAAATGGTGAACTTGTAAAGTGTATTACTAGTTATTGATATGCACACACAAACACACACATATATATCGGCTTGGCTCTAGTAGATGTGGCCAGCTTTTCCTCAAAAGAATATAACACACGAGGCTGGTTATCTAATTTGGTTACTGTAGGCTTAGCTAGCTAATACTTAAAACGTGATTTCATTTGCAGCGATTAGAATTTTAAGAAAATAATAAGAAACTCAATAATATCTTCATCCCGTGTTTAGTTACGTTGGATGGATTAAATGGTTAGGTTAGTATTCATAGAGGAAAGTACTATTTGACTATATGATAACAGTGATGTATTGGTTTCCTTTCAGGTTTCTTATGCCCATTTGTGCCATTGCTACCTATTGTCTGCATTCTCATCAACGTCTACCTACTGATTAATCTTGAGTAACTATCCAATCAAATACTTCGGTTCTTTTTAATGTTAATTACCCTTGTCGTTTTCATTTCTGATAGATTTTCATTTTTAATGTTATCAGAATTGAGATAATTCGTATTGTGGTTTCACCGGGAAGCACTTTCAATATTATCATAACCAAGTAGAGATTATAAAATGCAAACGAAGTTTCCTTTTGATTTCTGCTGAATGCCCCAGTGTCTAATCTGTTGTCTGTAACTGTTCCTTATACAATGCCATATATTGTTTCGTGTTCAGGGCGGACACCTGGGCGCGTGTTGCTGTATGGCTGCTAATAGGAGTGGTGATTTACGTATTTTATGGCCGATCGCACAGCTCATTGGGGGATGCAGTTTACGTGCCAGTAGCTCACGTCGATGAAATCTTTCGGAGCTCAGGAAATTGAGTAGCTTAAGTTTGTACAGGAAATGCAAGGACAAACAGAGTCCGTTGTATCGTGTACCATGTCATCTGGAGATCGTGAAGTTTCCTTTTATCGCGTGCTTTTGATTCCGATTATTTGTTGTTTGTAATCTTATTACAGCAAGGACAGAAGTCAGTCCATTGTGTAATTATTATTTTGTTGATGCTGGACGTGTTCGAGCAATGTAAATACTTTGCAATTAATCAAAGTTTCCACTCTCCTTTCTTAGGAGAGAGGCAATACCAGAAATACCAGAAATAATGGTGGCATATTTCACGACATGGTGCTTTGCTCAGTGTGGCTTTGGGCTGGTTTCGTATTGTTGTGCCTTGGAAAAAAACTGTTTATGCTGTACTGTGAGAATAAATTCATTTTTGCTGCTTCACGTTTTTAGCTTTTTTTTCACCTAAAACTGTGAAAATAAGCTGTTTTTAAGTGTTTATCAAACATATTTTTTAGCTCAGCTTTTTTTTTATACTTACTTTTTATAAAAGCACCTCAATATCAAATCATTACTTAAAAGGCTCAACGTTTACCGTATATATTTTAATTCTTTAATGTGAAATTTCAGCCCAACTGCCTTTCAAATCCTTGATTGCCCTTGAACGGGAGGAAGGCTCGGACAGAGTTGAGCGTTTTCTTTTCCTGTAGTTTTCTAGCTTCGCACCTGCTGCCACCCAGTAGAGAATATCTTACCTTTCAGAAGTGTTTTATTGACAAAGTGTGTTATGTTAATAAATAGTTTATATATAGATAGTGTAAACATCGAAATTTCAGTGAAATAAATGTTCACCAACACATTAAAGTTCGACATACAAGGGCTTACGTGGCATATGACTCATCAAGGCCAGACAAGTCATCAAGGATACATGTCAACGATTGGCGGAAATTAATATTTGATTTTAATTTAAATTAAACAAATTAATTAATTTAAATTAAAGCAAATAGAAATGCCAAATTGGACAAAATTGATTATTTGATTTTATTTAAATTAAAAATTTGACTTATTGATTTATTGATGGAAACAAATCACGAACTCAGCTACAAACCAAGTCCTGATTCTTTCATCAATTAATCAAGGTCAAATCCATTTGTAGGCAAGACTTGGGAAGTTTATAAATACAAAGCTCCAAGGCAAAGGAAAGAGATTCATAAATCATTCAAGCACCCAGACGCTGCCAAAGCTGAAGCACCCAAATCCTCAAAACACTTAGAAGAATTCAGAAAGTTCTCTGTGTTCTTCATCAAACCTCCTTCAAAGAATCATCAAGTACTACTCGTGTTGATCCTTCAGATAGCCAAGAGCCAAAACCTTACGACAACTGTTCATCCAAGATCAAGTTATCACGACCTTGGATCAACAACCTACACATCTTTTGGAGATAGAATTAGAGGAACCTTGTAAACAAAGATTGTAACCCTAACAAATCATTAATACAAATTTATTTTGTACACGTGTTCTCTTGTTATTTGCTACAGGGAATTTCGTGTTTACAAATAGATGAATGTAAAGTGAGCATGCAGGGAAAAAAACACTGCCACTTTTCCGTCGTTTGTGAAATCTCGAAACTTTCGTGTTGTTCACATATTAGACCTTTTTTGTCCTATAAATTGGTCTAGTTCATCTTCAAAGCCACAAATTGTTTGGACCATAATATGACAATTTACATGAATTTTATAAGGTCCACTTTGTCATGTTATGAGATATCTCATATTGGTTCGTAGCCCTGAACATTTTGCAATGAAAATCATATGGATGTGAGAACTTCGTCATAGTAACTACAAAATAAAGATATTTGGATGAGGATGGTGAAGGAACTGGATCCCCTTCGGACCTAAAGGAATTGAGCGCACTCATGAAATGATCCGGACCATTGAAATTTGATCCAACAATTACAAACAGGTGAACGTCTAAATGTTATAATAATTGTAGCCGTTGAATCAAATTTCAATGGCCCGATCATTTGATCATTGGGCTCAGTTCCTTTGGATCCGGGGGGATCCGGTACTAATGGTGAAGACCTAGGATAATTATGGGCGTCATGCTAATTTTGTGGGAAAAATCGCGTGGATGTGAGAGCTTCATCAAAGGTTATTCAATCTCTCAAAGACTCAAAGACTATATAATACAATCCGGTGTTTTATACTAAGTGTCAAACGAGACCTAAATGTTCTTTCCTTGTACAATGCCATATACTGTTTCGTTTTCAGGGCGGACACGGGCGCGTGTTGCCGTACTGTATCGCTGCTAACATGAGTGGTTGTTTACGTATTTTATGGCCGATCACACAACTCATTCGAGTAGGCAGTTTACGTGCCAATAGCTCACGCCGATGAAAATTTTCAAAGCTCAGAACATTTTGCAGCTTAAGTTTGCACAGGAAATGCAAAGACAGCAATCAGTCCATACGTTTCGAGAACCAAACTCTGCAGATTGCATGATATTATGAAAGGGGTTTTATTTGATCCTGGCTATGCTCATTCAAATTCAACATATTCTTCTGTACCTAAATACGACTGCCCTTCAAGACACCCTCCTCCGAAATGATGGTTATGCACCCCACATACGACCTCAAGTTTCCACTCATCTCCGGGACCGGGACCAATGTTTACACCTTTCAATAGAAACGGGCAACCACACTTTTTCGTACCTGTGGCCTTAGGGCGCTTTCTCTTCCGATGATCTATATCTGCATTGAAACTCATCGCTGCTTGGCCATCTGAATCTACATCAGACTTCTTTGTATAGTATCCACTATGCTCACAACAAAGATTAATTCTAGCTCGTCGTAATCTATTTTTTCCAGCAGCATCTGACCTCTTGATGACCACCCCTACACCGCAACTCCGTCCTTGTACACGAATCCAATTGACCAATTCTTCTCGATTCTTGAATACCTGCCAAAGTACGTATATTTGTTGTAATCAACCATACAACACTAACAAGTTAAAACAAAACAGAACTTCTTTTACCTCATCAGTGATGAATTCATTTGTGGTGTCCAAAAGGCTGTCTATTGCAACACCACTGCTTGTAGTAGACGCATCATGCTGTGGCTGCAATTTACAATTTTGATTAAGTTTCAGTATTCGGCAGCTGATGGATGAACTCAACTGTGAAAGTTTGGCCTGCAACCACCGAATGTTATGCTACTCAGCCTACACATGCACTGGAAAAGCCGAACACATGTCAGGTTCATGGTTTAGGGTTGGTTCTGGAGTCTGAAGCCCCTGCATAGGTTTGGATTTCAACAACCGAATTTGTTCAAGTTTATGATTTTTGTCCTCGGTTTGCTACTTCCCAAAACAAACAGTTACGTTCAGTAATTCAGCTAACCTTTCGGCTCTGCTATGTAGTAAGTAGAGAAAACTATTTGTGCCACATCATACATTATGTTGGAGACAATACATATCGAAAAGTATTTTTCCTTTATTCTTTTTCATTTCTAGTTTCTTTGATACAAAAGGATTGAGATAGGATAAATAATCTTTAACACTGTTCAAAGAATAACAAAAGGAATTACATAGATGAATTGATGAAAGAAATCATTCTAGGAAGGTTCTCGAGAGCCAACGTGAATATTGCACCAAGCACAAAAATCATAACAAAGGCTAATACTATTTTTCCAATGTATGTAAAACTGATTGCTGGTTTCAACACCCTCTTTGGATCATGTAACTTGGTAGAACGCTACAGAAAATCATAAACATATATTAATACAAGCTAAAACGTCAACAATTGATAAAAGAACGTCCAATCTTAAAAGAGGTAGAACGCTACACTTAATAACTTATTTGATTGTACATCATCAGATACCCTTTTAAATCATTTAACATCGTATATTACTTTTCGTGAAGCAAAAACTTCAGTTGAGAAGAAAAGAAAGGTAACTATCCAAGTGCAAGTTTTCACTCATCACATCACAAATAAGGATTTTTATATGGGTGCAAACCAAAACTTCAACCCTATGAAGTATGAATACTAGGTGGTTAGAAGTGCATATGAAGTTATGAACATAATTTTCAGAATTCACATTTTCGGTTTACTTTCTTAGTTGTCTGCACATTCACTTGCGAAAGTTAAATAATCATGGCCAAGCTGTGAAATTGAGATGAGACAAGTTTTCCCTCCGAACAATTGACTTAGTACATTGACTACAACTTAAAAGAAACCACGACAATGGATTGCCCTGCCTCACCATTATCCTCCCATCTGAAATGACTGAATAGTTCACTGAACTTAAACACCCTTCAATCCACATCCTCCACCTCCCATCAAAACCCTTGCTATCCAAGACATGGCCTAGAAATCTAAAATATAGACTAATCCTTTATTTTATTATCTCTTTCCTCAACAACGTAATGGACAACACTGGGTTTAAGCTGAAGAGTAGAGACTAATTCTTGGACAGAACTGGATTTTATCACCAAGATGCTTCCATGCACACTCTAATACCTTAATGGGCCCAAGAAACTGAGCTTCCAAATCACGGAAACTACCTAAAGTATATATCTAGTCTTGGTTTTAGTCCCATGTTTTCTTCCTGTCGCACCTCTCTCTCTCTCTCTTGATTCTTGACTGAAGTAAAGGTTTTGCCAAAAATCTATTTACAACCTAGAAACTTCCACAAAGTCATCCAATGAAGCCACTGACTTGTTTATTAACCAACAGAATTCGTATTATTGTGGGCACAGCCCTATTGGCTATTGGCTCCTATTCACCTGAGTTTGAACTTAAGTATAATATCGCTTGAATACACAAAAAAAGGTTGAATATTTCCTTTCATAATCACTATAAACAAATGTCCAGTTCAAACTCATACATACAATATACCCGAAACAGAATTCTTAACTCACTTAACATACACAAAAAAATGTACAAAAACTTACCGTTACAGCAGGAACTGGCATTGCCCTTGGCCTTACAACCCCTTCTCCACCTCCAAACTCTGTACTTAAGCAAAGACAAAAAGTCATTACAATCCACAATTTAATCATTTTAACATACCCAAAAAATGAAAGAAAATACAGAGTAAATTGAAGCATTGGTACCACATTGTAGTTACGGCCCTGAATTAAATATCTGATTTTAAATTTGACACAACGCGGAGCAGTTGTCCTTCACGCCAACTCTGCAAGAATTTCTGTCAAAGTTGGCCCTCGGCGCAGTTGCCGATTTACTTCTTGAAAGGGGCTCATGTGGATTTCATTTACAAAAATTCTTACGAAGTTGGCATCAAAGACTAATGCTATGCATTTCGTTAAATTCAGATACCTATACCGATTTTAATGGATTACTAAAGCTACAATTCGATTATAGTTCAGGATCCACTGCTCCAATTATCCTAAAGTTACAAGGGTCACGTCCACTTTATTGAAGAAAGATACAAGCCTACAATACGGTCATAGTTTAGGAGAAATTTTTCATTGTGACGGGAATATGGGTGATCCACCATGTGTTTTTATATAAGTTGTGGAAAATTGTATATTTTAAGTTATTAACTTTTTGGCACACATATCTCATCATATAGTGACACGGTGTACCCCTCCGTGTTTCAGTTACACTGAAAATTATCTCATAGTTCAGAACCAATGCTCCAATTTTCTCAAAAATACAAAAAGTAAAAAACTTGGATCTGAGTGATTGAAGAGAAGAGCGAATTACCAGGAGAATCCAGCTGGGTAACGGTCTGCAACCGCCAGCCACTGCCGTAGTCGACGAGGGCGGAGCTGGGGCCGAAACTGATGGGCTCCTCACCTTCTTTGACGGCTTCAATGTGCAGAGCAAGTGGGTCCCCCGCACCCAATTTCTTGTTTATCAGTGAGACTGCGAATCCTGCCTCCGTCCCCATCGCGAACCGCCGTGTCATCCCTGAACTCTGACATTTCACCTCCAGAAACTACCCACCCATTCACAAATTACAATCAGATTCCCTTACGAAAATTTGGCATCGAGAGAGAAGGGAGAGAGGGCATTGGAGTGGGATGTCCATCATAAAATTCAAAGGAACTCTGAAGCAACTTATTTTGGACTGGACTGTATTTTAAAGGATTCACGTAAACCATAAAATTCATATATTTTGTAACCAAATAAATCAAAATGAGACCACTTACTACTAGAGTCTGATGAAGTTTTTAGTAAAACGTCTTAAGTTTACAAGTGGTCACGTTCCACTTTTATGAATGGAAAATACAACCTACAATTACGGTCATAGTAAGGATGAAGAAATATTTTTCATTGAATAGTGACATGAATAATTGTTGGTGATCCACCATGTGTTTTTATATTAAGTTGTGGAAAAATTGTCAATATTTGTATAAGACAATGTGAATTTGGCTAACACTTATCTCATCATTAAAGAGTAAATTGTAACCCCTGGTCTTTCAGTTACAACTGGAAAATTAGGTCCCTCAACTAAAAATGCTCAATTATTTTCTCAAAAATACAAAAAGTAAAAAACTTGGACTCATTGATAAGAAATAGCAATTAACCAAAATCCAAGCTGGGTTAACGGTCTGCAACTAGCCAAAGCCAACCGCCTTACCACGAGGAGAAGCTGGACCAAATTTGCAATGGGCTTCCTAACAACATTTTGAACCTTCAATTGACAAAAATGGGTCCCCGCACAAATTTTGTTTATCCAGTTGAGACTGACAAAATTCTGTACGAAATGACCATGTACATTTTTAGTTGAGGGACTAATGAAATTATTACTATTGTTATATAATTTATTCTTTTAAAAATTACCTTAAATTTGAAGGCGTAAAATAAAGTTAGCCCAAAATAATAAGAACCGGAAATTTGGAACTTGGGGGGAAAAGAAAAAAAAGGCGGGGTCTTTAAACCCTTATAATTTCTGCAGACTGCAGCAGGCTTTCTTCGCCCTTTCATTTCTCTCACCTCAAAAGCTCGCAACTTGGTCTGCACTGTGCAGCCTGAGAGCTGGAACCGGTGAGTTTATCTTCCAAAGTACTCCATTTCTGGGTAATTTCTCCTTCTACCATAATTATTTTTTTATTGTCACAATCTAGAAGGGAAAAAAAATGGAAACTTTGGAAGATTTTGTGCCCTAACTGGAACTTTATTTGTGTGTAATGAAAAGGATAATTCTTTTTGGTTACCTAGCAAGTTTGATGATTTTTGTCCATGCCCAAATGGAGAATTTTTATTTTTGTATATTTTTTTTGTTAGGGGTGTGAGTGATAAAAGCATAAATCTGTAAATTGGGTGATGGGTATTTGCAGCCTTCCATTTCTTAAAATTGCAAGTCTAACTCTGGGCCTGTGGCATATAAGTTGAAAATTACCAGAAAATAGTGATGACATTGACATGTACATTGATCCCCAGATTTATGTCTTGGGAAAGTTTTGTCATCATGGGCTGGTTGCGACTAGTTCATATTGTCATTTAACAAGCCACATCCAACAAGAACAACAACAAACCCTTATCCCACGAAATGGGGTCGGCTGTATGAATCCTAGAACGCCACTACACTCAATATCCTAGAAAAATTTTAAAATTTAACAAATGGCCAATGGTCTTACATCTGCAGCTATGGGCCTGTGCAATTAATGTAACAAATTGCAATGGTCTTTCTACAAAATTTGATGACCAAACTTAGTGGAGTTGATGGACCCCAATTGTAGCAATTTTTCCAACATAATTCATTTTTGACAAAATTCAACGAGTTGACAAAAATGACCATAGCTACACATTTAATTATTGAGGACTAATGATATGATTTTAGTTAAGGACTATTGCTTCAATTTAATTAAAGTTGATGAACTATTGTTATAATTTATTCTTTTAAAATACCTAAAATTTCCGTTTAAATAAAGTTAGCCCAAAATTAAGACCGAAATTGAAACTTGGGAAAAGAAAAAAAATGGTCTTTAAACCCTATTTTTTGCAGACTGCAGCAGGCTTTCTTCGCCCTTTCATTTCTCTCACCTCAAAAGCTCACTTGGTCTGCCATGTGCACCTGAGAGCTGGAACCGGTTTATCTTCCAAAGTACTCCATTTCTGGTAATTTCTCCTTCTACCATAATTATTTTTTTATTGTCACAATCTAGAAGGGAAAAAAATGGAAACTTGGAAATTTGTGCCCTAACTGGACTTTATTGTGTTAATATTTCTTTTGGTTATAGCAAGTTTGATGATTTTGTCATGCCCAAATGGAGAATTTTTATTTGTATATTTTTGTTTAGGTGTGGAGTGATAAAAGCATAAATCTGTTAAATTGGGTGATGTATTGCAGCCTTCCCTTAAATTGCAAGTCTAACTCTGGCCTGTGCATATAAGTTGAAAATTACCAGAAATAGTGAACATGACATGTACATTATCCCCAATTTATGTCTTGGGAAAGTTTTGTCATCATGGCTGACTAGTCATATTGTCATTTAACAGCCAATCCAACAAGAACAACAAAGATGTTATCCACGAAATGGGTCGGCTGTATGAATCCTAGAACGCCACTACACTCAATATCCTAGAAAAACCACATATATATACATATACATACATGAGTGTTGAGATTTGTAGCCGATTATACCTCATTTTCTGTTATTTAGATTAGAAATAGTTGAAGAACCACCGAATTTTAGCATCACCAAATCCTTTCTATAGGTAGGGTTCTAATAACACGGAAGTACATTGTGGAGTGGGCCACATATTGTGCCCCTTTTGTGATTTTATGGGTCTCCGATTCCTTGCAATTTCTGATGCTTTGAGGTTATTTGTGAGAATTATTTGATACTTTTGATGCTGTGTTGATTGTTACTGCAATGTTCAAATTTATATTTTCAGACTCAATTTGATTCATAGGGTTGAGATGGACGATGATTCAACTCCGCATCCTAATTCTGTTGAAACTCCCCGAACTAACCAGCCTCCACCAGTTCCTAAATTCAGTGCGGGCTTTAAGGGAAAACAACCTGGATCACTACCAAATGATTCAACTCCTTGTCCTAATTCTGTTGAAACTTCCCGAACTAACCAGCTTCCACCAGTTCCTAAATTCAGTGCGGGCGTCAAGGGAAAACAACCTGGATCACTACCAAATGATTCAACTCCTCATCCTAATCCTGTTGAAACTTCCCAAACTAACCAGCTTCCACCAGTTCCTAAATTCAGTGCGGGCGTTAAGGGAAAACAACCTGGACCACTGCCAACTGTATGGGATCACTTCATTAAACTCGAAAATGATGGCCTTATCGAGCCTAGATATGAATGCAATTACTGTGGGGAGGAATTCAGTGTGGATAATATCAAGCACGGAGATAGTATTTTATGGAATCATTTGACTGATGACTGTGAAAATAACCCGCATAGATCAGAGCACAAAAGGAAAGAGAACCCGAGTCTTGAAACTAGCCAAGTTCCAAGTTGTTCTGGTGAGAATTCTTTGGAAGGGTGGTTAAGTATAGCAGAATATATCAGAGCATGCAGTAAGATGATGATTATCGACGAGTTGCCTTTTAGCTTTTGTATGAGACCTTGAAAGTTTGGTTTCAATTACTTCTTCGTCCTGATTTTGATATCCCATCTCCAGTAACACTTGCTCGAGATGCCAGCTTTATTTGGATCAGAAGAAGCAACTGAAAAGCTTGTTGATCGAAAATTCTCAGAGGGTCTGCCTTACTACCCAAACATGGACTTCTATGCAACAGACCAAGTACATGGCTCTGAAGGTCCATTTTATTGACAGCGAATGGGAGCTTCATAAGAAAATGTTGAACTTTTGTGAAGTACCTAATGATAATGAGGAGACAGTTGGAGAAGTCATTGCATCGTGTTTAGTTGATTGGGGTATAGAAAGAGTGTTGACAGTTTCTGTTGATAATGCGAATGATGCGGCTCTGAACTCTATGAAAATGAAGTTGAAAAATTTTACTGGGAATTTGTTAGATGGTGAATGTTTACACATGCGATGCTATACACATATTGTGAATTCTTGTGCAGTTGAGCTGATAATGTGCATGAATCAATTGATAGTATTCGCAATGCTGTTTGTATGAAGTGGGCCATTATTGCAAATTTTGGCGTATGGTTTTGGAAAAACTACGTTGAGAGATGTTTTTCCAAAAGGCTTTTGAGAAGCTAGAAAAAGGTGATGAAGATTATGGTAGCCATTTCTTAGAGGATGAGAGTGGGTTAAAAATGATAGGTCCACCTACAGTTGATGATTGGGAAAACGTTGTTTTGGTTTGAAGAAATGATGCAACCTTGAAGTTTGGTGCTTCAGGTGTCACTTCCAATATCTGTTTTGATACATTGTGTTCACTTCGATCTAAGTTGACAACATTGAGCCAAAGTCAAGATTCACTTTTGGGGGAAAATGAGCAACAGAAATATGACAAATACTCTTGACGACAACAAGCTGTTGATTGTTTCATGTTTCCACATTTAGTGGATTATTGCATGTGAGAATATGGTCAGTTTTGCGGATTAGAGCTTTGTTTCGTCTTTACGAGGTTTATAGTGCATCGGATTCCACTCCTAGTTGCACCGAAGCTTCTAATGGTGATCAGTGTCATTACGAATGGATGAATAAGTTTCTAGAGTTCAAAGAAAAGAAGTTTACTGAAATGAGGTGTAGGTAGTACCCGTGAGAATACAGCAGGACACGGATATGCTGCATGGTGGAAAGTCTCTAAAATGCTGTCGCGTATTGCGAGGGATGTCTTTGCTATCCCCGTATCTACAATGGCTTCATCTGAGTCTGCAGCACAAGTGTTTTAAGACTGGAGCTCTACTAGCTTTGTCCTTGATGTGCTCACAAGATTGGCTACGAAGCCTACCATCTTCTCCTGTCATGGTAGATGATGATGAAGTATTAATTGAGGATGCGATATTTTACAAAGAAATCGAGTCAGGTAACAATTCAAATTCTTTGTTCTTTCTTATTAACCTATTACTTATACATATGGTCAGTGTAGAGTTTATGGATTTCTTCAAACACTTTCCATGGTTTTGTGTAGAGTTCTATAACGGAGGGCTATCAGATAACGAAGGCCTATCAGACAATCTCATGTCCGATAACGAAGACCTGTCAGATTATGAAGGTATTGTTTTGGTGTGTTAACAACATTCTCTTATCAAATTAATCATATCAGATGGTTAACAATGTAAGATGATCTTGTGTTTGATTAACAGATCTCTTCGAGGATTGAAGTTTTGAACTTCAAATCGAATTGTGGATCATGAGAGCTTGGAAGTGGTGGAGGATTCCCGATGTGCATGGCAGTGGAGAAATTGGTTGGCATTGGATAACTTGAACTGATTGGCTGGACCATTTAGTCTGATGGACAACAATTACCCATAATCTATGTACTTTCTGTTGTATTTTGTTTCTGAGTGTGACGCAATGTTGTCAAATTGTATTCAAAACCAGATCATTACTGAGACATGCACTCATGAATTTTGTCAAATTCATCTTGTTTTTTTCTCCTTTTCTCCTACTTCCTTTTGCATTAGCCAAATACCCCCTATTTTCTGCGGGGTGACTTACTTCTCTCTTCTTTTTTAATTTTTTTTAATACAACGATATATTCACATAACAGTGAGTGTTACGATGTTGGCCCTCTATTAGTTGAACTATCAAACTAATAATATTTTTTTCCAGGTAGCACTCAATTGACCCAACTTTTGCATGTAGAGTCATATATACACAAATGATGTATGGATTACATATGTTAGAGTTCGTTCCCCTTTGGTATTGTAATCAAAGTGGTGGAAATGGGGAATAATCTGAAAGAAAAAGGATCAATCACTGTGACTAACACCACCAAAAGGAAATGAACTCGGAGAAACTTCACCAAAAAGTGGAAAGGATTAATCTTTGTGGCGGAAATGCGGAAATATGTAGACTATTCTAATTTCGTTCCCTTTTAAGCATTATTGGGATTAATCTCGTCCTCTCTTCCCTTTAGCTCCAATTAAGTTTCTTTTGAGCAAAAAGAAAAAGGAAAAAGCTTCTTCACAATAGATATATTGGTACTTCGTCGTTTCCAAGTATTTAATTTGACATTCACATAGAAAAAAGGCCTTGAAACAGCCACTCTGAGAAACTTCATATGAACAAGTCATTTTTGGTCATTTCTAATTAAACCTTTCAATCCTTCTTAATTAATTATTGAATGAGGATTCTCTTTGGATCCTCTTTGTAAGGATCCTGGAGATCCTCCAATCACGTCTGTTCATCGTACATCGTGCAGCCAATTTTCGTCAGGTATTGTTTATATTCAATTTTAAATAAAAAAAATTACAATAATTTTTGACCGCATGATGTACAATAAACGGATATGATTGGAGGATTTCCGGAATCCTCACAAAGAGGATCCTCATTCTTAATTATTGAGCACCAATCTTCTTCGAAAGGAGGGCAAAGTGAACGAAACAAAAACAAATTAATAAACGATAATAATGTTGACTTTTCTTAATAAACAACGATTATAATAAGGTAGCTGAGCTGAGCTGAGCTGTGATGAGAAGATTGAATGTTAATGGCCATGGTTACCAAATGTTGCAAAATATAAGTTTAATGACGATCATGCTGCAAACGTTTTAGGTTTTCTGGCCCTCTACATATTTCTCACCAGAAAATATTAATATTTTCTGCATTATATTTTTGTTGTCCCTCCAACAGCAATGGTTTTTGTCTCCTGCTGCTGAAGCAAAATGGGTGGTGCTTGTTATAGGGTCATGAATGAAAGGTTTGACTCGCATATTTTGTTGGTTAACAAGCAGCATGGCGGCTAAACATTCTTTTGTAGGTTCATGAATTAAGAACTTTAATTTGTATGAAAAATCCCTAAGCGGTTTAAATTGAAAATGTTAGAGAGATCGTATTTTTGTATAGGAAAAATTAGTATCTCGTCCCTAATTCTTACTGTTCATTGACTAAGACCTTATTAGTTCTCAAATTTTGATTCAAGTCCCTATCATTAATGTGATAATGAATTTACATGTTTATTATATAATTTTTTTAATATAAAAATTAGTAATTAATTTAGGGTTTAATACTCACACCTCTATTAAACTTCTAATTAATTTTCAATTCAAACATTTCGAAAATAATAAAAAATTAAATTAAATTAAGTTTGTACCTATTAGTTTTTTTTATATATATAAAAAGATTCTCAATTTTTTAATCTTAAATGTACCCATTCATATAAATTTTCAATTTTTTTAATCTTAAATGTACCCATTCTCAAATATATCAATTTGTTATATGTAAAATGTACCCTTTTTTTAATATAAAATCCATTCAAATTTTTTAATCCATGTTTAAACTTATATGGGTACATTCTTTTTCGTTGATTTGAGAATGTATCCATGTTTTGGTACAATAACTTTTTTTGTTAATTTTGGTTAATGTACCCATACATAAATGCACACACACAATATAATAGAGAGTATAATTTATATTTATTATTTTTAATCCCATAAATTATGGGTTTTATTTAAAATCTCATTAATATAAACAATTACAAATTTCAATTTTTAATTTTTAATTTAAAAAATATAGTAACTTACGTTATTACATTAATGTCAGGGACCTCAATCAAAAACTAAAAACTAATAAGATTTCAATCAAAGAATATTGATAGTTATGGACCGCATCGAAAGTATCCCTTTTGTATATCATGTTAGTGTAGTAGTAAATGATATATACAGGTCACATCATTTAGATGTTGATTATCACGTGAACTATTGAGCAAATCTCATGATACATAAATATGTGGTCTCCTAATTTAGTTTGTATAAAATCATTTTGGTTTTATATCATCGTATTAAAAAAGGGTCAAGTGTTTTTACTAAAATTCAAGCATTTTTCTTCTTGAAAGTTTATCAAAATCATTAAAAGTTGTCAGAAAGCGTTTTTAGCTCTTTAAGGCATCTCCAATGAAAAATGTAAAACGCCTTTAAATGGGTATTTTTCATCTTTTTTTTTTAAATTTTCCAATGACGAAATGTAAATTATCTATCTTCACTAAGATGTAAATAAAAGCTAAAATTTACATTCTTTTTGGATCTCAAATTTACATCCCGCCTATCGAAGTAGATTTTTCATTTACATCTACTAAAAATATAAAAGAGAACGTAAATATATTTTTTGCATCTCAAATTTGGAATACTACAAACACACACACTCACACACACCAAAAAAAAAAAAAAAAAAAAAAACAGAAAACATGATTGGCAATTTTTTTATTAAAAAAAAAGCGTTGACTAATGTGAGGAGAATTTCAGCAAGCTCGAACAAACCAATATTCTTCGACCAAAACATAAAAAATGGAACGAAAGAATCGCATATCAAGACGTGGTGCATGTCTTTTTCTATTTTCCACGGTCAGACCATTTGAGTTGATCAATTTTTCAATCATCGTATGAATTATAAGATGAGAAATACATTATAAATTTGGTTGAAGAGAATGTATGAGTCTCTTGAGTCTAAATCAACCGTACCAAACAAATTTTGATGATCCCCATCAAACGTATATACGTAAATAATTAATTATCCAAATTCACTAATAAAGGAATTATATCTCATTTTAATAACAAATATGGAATTAAAACAACATGACTTGAACTTGTACACATTCAGAGATGATGCTCGAAACCCTAGCTAGTATTTAAGGAGGGCTAGGGTTGAGCCTGAAGACGTACAGACCAAGTAATTAATTAAGCAAAATCCAAGAAGAAAAGAATGATGACAAATGTTAGTCTCATTGATCTTTCATTATTTCTGTTGTTAATATTTCATTTCTCTCAAAATCCAACGGCGGACGCTGCCGGTGGCAAATGGCAAGTGTTGAAGAACGTTGGCATTTCCGCCATGCACATGCAGCTCTTAAAAAACGACCGCATCATCCTCTTCGACCGCACCGACTTCGGCAAATCCAACTTGTCATTACCCAACGGTAACTGCGTCAACAACGACTGCACCGCCCACTCCGCAGAGTTCACCGTCCAAACCAATGCCGTCCGCCCCCTCACCGTCTTATCCGACGTCTGGTGCTCCTCCGGCTCCATGGCCCCCAACGGTAACTTAATCCAAACCGGCGGCTTCAACGGTGGAGAGCGCCGCGTCAGGGTTTTCCAACCGTGCACGGGTTGTGATTGGAAGGAGATTGTGGACGGCGTAAACGTGCGCCGTTGGTACGCCACCAATCATGTTCTGCCCGACGGACGGCAGATAATCGTCGGCGGCAGGAGGCAGTTCAACTACGAGTTTTATCCCAAGACGCCATCGTCTAGCAGCGTCTACAGTTTACCGTTCCTTTCGCAGACCAACGATGCCGGCGAGGAAAATAATCTCTACCCTTTTGTTTTTCTCAACCCCGACGGCAACTTATTTATTTTCGCCAACAACCGAGCTATTCTGTTCAATTATGTGAACAACACTGTCGTTAAAAGCTACCCGCAAATACCTGGTGGCGACCCCAGGTCGTACCCCAGCACCGGTTCAGCCGTGTTGCTGCCGTTGAAGAACTTGACGGCTCCGTCGGTTGAGGCTGAGGTTTTGATCTGCGGTGGAACTCCAAAAGGATCTTACACCAAGGCAACAAACGGTACTTTTGTCGGAGCTCTAAACACATGCGCTCGGATCAAAATAACTGATCCGAACCCGCAGTGGGTTGTTGAGACTATGCCTCAAGCTAGAGTCATGGGAGACATGAGATTGCTCACCGACTGCACTGCTTCGAATAGTAATGGTGCAGCGGTTGTGACTGCGGGTTGGGAATTCAACACAACCCGGTTCTGAACCTGGTTGTGTACAAACCAGACAATGCTGTCCGGTTACAGTTACCCGAAAACAACCCCTCTCCCGAATACAAGACTATTTAACAGCTCAAAGCTTTAAGAGTATCAGTCCATAGCTAGAGTAGGATGGTGTTCTACTTTGATTGAATCCGATGTCAATAATTTGACAAACATGGAGAAATACTTATGCCATGAGGCTTTTGAACTCAGAGAACCAAAACTTATACAAAAAAAGTTGCGATGGAGCTCAACCGTGATCGTTTACAACATAATATTAAAAATATTGTGGCGCAGCAATAAGCAGAAAACAGAAACGAAACTATCGTGTCGAAATCTGAACAAAAAATGCACCATGGGGCATCCTCCTCTACTGCAAAAGAAAGTCTCAAGCACATAGCAGGGAAGCTTACCCCAACCAAATGGAGCTCTCGGACTCTTGAGCAAGTAAAACTCATTGCTTCAGCAACCTTTCCCAGCTCATAAGAGTTCCCAGCTTTCTTAAAGCACACATGATGTTGCTACATTTAATCCGGTTCCTCAGTTAAATGGGACACATTCACGTCAATGCACGCGAGGTGAGCCTTTTGGTGGAACATGCTAATAAATCACTTCCTGTCCAAAGCAGATTCCATCATTTCCAATTAGTGAATGATTATGAAATACAATTATGGCGAACTATCATGCTCAAAAT